TTAGAGCTCTGTGTTCATAATTTCATAATTGCATAAATGTACATTCATAACGGCATAACTGTACATTCATAACGGCATAACTGTACATTCATAATAATAAAAAAAAAATAACGCCGTTAACGGCAAAATACGCGCGATTTTTTTTTTTTAACTAAATGACGCGTTTTTTTTTAAAAACGACGTCGTTTTGGGCCCGTGTCCACAATTCAATGTGGACACGGGTCCAGAGCATAATTTGCCGTCCCATGATGGGCTTATCTGTTTCATGTGTTCAGATTCCGTAACGGGCTTCCGTCACTGGACAAAGCCAGTACTTCTACTACATTTGACGAAGCCCAATAGCAGTATAGTAGCATGTGCTATTCCTATTTTACCCTTCAATTTATATTCGCAGATAGTAACCATGTTCCTCCAAAACCTCAACTCAGAAATGATCGAATCCCATTTTTGCGAAAACCCTAGCACAGCACCAGCAGGCAGCAGCTAACTTCACTATCCGTAATAGATACATACACTGACCGTGTATGTATACATCGTAGAGCCACAATAAGGATTTGGAAGAAATGGCATCAATGTCGATCCTAACGCGGTCGCGGCCGTTGATCAGAACGATATCGCACGGCCACAGATGCATCACCGCCGTCTCATTCCTCTCGCAGGAAGCTCAGCTGGCGGAGGCTCCGTCCACGGCGCTTCCCACGCAGGGTGCTACTCCGCTTCCGCCAAACCCGGTCTCCGGCAGCCAAATGTACACCAACAACTGGCTCGCTTCTGCGTCGTCCGGTTCTCACCTCGTTCCGCTGAGTCTAATGCAGCAGCCGCAGTCGTCTCGCGTTCAAGCTCTGTCGCAGACGCTGGACGCGCAAGGGTTGAAGGACTATTTCAGCAATTGGATGACGGAATCGCGGTGGATGGACGTAAAGCAGCTGTTCGAGTTCTGGATCAAGTCGTTGGACAAAAATGGGAAACCTAACAAGCCCGACGCGAACTTATACAACTTCTATTTGAGGGCCAATCTGATGCTCGGTGTTCCGGTAGATGAATTGATGAGCTTAGTGCAGCACATGGAGGATTTTGGACTTGTTCCCAATACCGCATCTCAGAATTTGATCTTGAAAGCTATGTACCAGTCGGGCGAGCCTATGATTTTTGTCGAAGCGGCTCAAAAGTTGATAGAATGGTTCGTATTGCAAGAAGTTTAGTACCTTCCGCGAAAATGCTATTTTAAAAAATGATTTCTTTATATCTAGTTTGTTGCTTTGTGAGTTTGTGGCGTTAGATTATAATGCCTCTAATTCCTATTTTTAGATGATCAAGTATTCACTTTAAAAATTGCATGTTAAATTTTAATGGGCCGAAGTCTAAATTATATCCTGAAAACTTGAGATGGTTGATCAATTAAGAAGTGATCGGTGACTGCAAACAATGTTGGAAAACACCTTTTCCTCGTAGTTAAGTTGGAAAACAATGTTGTAGACTTGTAGTTATGAATGTATATATGTGTTATTCCTTTCAGAAATGCCAGTATGGCAATATCTGATACATTATCAAAGTGTTAATATGCATTAAGAATAAATATCATAGTACTGTCTCCTAAACATGTTACTGTTGACAGGGCATGCAGGTCTGCAGCCAGCAGCCTTGCATTCAGTTCTATAAAGTCTTTCCTTATCATCAGCAAACCCCATTTTCAAGTTAATTGAGGGAAAATGGCTTCTATGATGACAGCTTTCTTTTATATTTCCTTATTCTTTTTGTTTATTTATGATGAATGCTTTCTCTTTTTTGGGCAAGTTGCTCTCGTCAAATATGATAAATCTGATAGGGAGAGGTTAGGAATGACAGAGTTTTTTGGATCTGTGATGCTCATTTGTCTACTTGTTTCTATGCTCTTTTTATCTGGTATTTTGATTTTCCATCTTTTTTTTTAAAATGTAAAACAATGTATAGATTATTTATTCTCCCTTTGTGTGTTGGTGGATGGAGGAGTTGTGTCTTTCTCCCAAATTAAGGTATGTTTTAGCTACCTACTTGCTTAGGTAGTTGTCTAAACAAAAGGCCAATGGAAAAAAAAAAAAAAAAAGAGAACTGAAAACTAACTGGGTAGTCCCAATATGGTTCTAATAGTTTTTCCCACCTGCATGCTATATGATTTTATTTTTGGTTTCATTGTTGCTTTTTGAATGATGCTTGTTTTATTATGCATACTAGGATGCTTGAGGTTGGGAAAGAGAATAAAGACTCTTTGCCGGATGATGAGTCATATGACTTGGTTATTGGCTTGCTTTTTAAAGCAAACCAGACTGATGCTGCCTTTAAGTTTGTTGATTCTGTCCTAACATCTGGGTACACTATGTCATCAAATGTATTCAATCAGTGCATAAGGAGATGTCTTGATAACAATAGGCTGGATACATTGTTATCAATAATAGAGAAATGCAAGGTACACTTGTTTTTACATATCATTCTAAGCACATTAAGCTGTTGGATAACTGACTATTTTAAGATGACACTTTAATTGTGGGTATTTTCAGAAATCTGATCAGAACAAGAAGGTAATTCCATCTTGGTACTTATGCAACATATTGGCAGATCATGCAATAAAGGAAGATAACAGTGAACTCACCTTTTCTGCCTTGGACTTCTTTGTGAAATGGATTGTTAGAGGGCAAAATGTGAGGCCCCCTGTTTTACTTTCTGTAGATGAAGGACTACTTGTGGCTGCACTTGGTACTGCTGGTAGAAACTATTCTTCTAAACTCCTGAATGGTGCTTGGGAAATCCTTAAGCGCTCACTACGCCAGACAAGGAGTCCTAATCCTGAAGCTTACCTTGCTAAGATCTATGCCCATGCTTCGATGGGTCAGTTACAGAATGCTTTTGCCTCACTGCATGAATTTGAGAAAGCCCATGGAAATCCCATGGATGTTGATGCAGAAGAATTATTTTCACCATTTACCTCTTTGAATCCACTGGTTCTTGCTTGCTGCAGGAATGGGTTTTCAACTTTGGATACAGTATGTTCTCTCTCTCTCTTTTCTCACTGTTTAATGTGTGGTGAGTTGATTATTAAAGTTCTTGCCCTTGGGTTCAGATGTTCACTCTGAGAGACACATCCAGCGTTGCAAAATCGCACACATCCAGTGTTGCAAAATCTAACTTTCTTATTACATATATATACCAGAACTTATATATGCATATGTTTGAAAGCCTAGGAACAGAGTTATATGTGTGTGTGTGCATCAGTACCTTAGCAATTTAGCATCATTAAATGAACCTGAAGCTACTTTCTATTTCCTGCTTATTGAACTTTTCTCGCTTAATATGGAGTGATATTTCTTTTTTTTGGAGTTATGTGATACTCTATATATCATTTTGTGGATTCCTACTGATTTGAACCCATAACTGTTGATCAGGTTTACTATCAACTGGAGAATTTAAGCCGTGCTGAAACCCCTTATAAGTCTGTTGCTGCTCTAAACTGCATCATTTTGGGTTGTGCCAATATATGGGATATTGACCGTGCTTATCAGACTTTTGCAGCAATTGAGGCCTCATTTGGGTTGACACCTAATATCCATTCATACAATGCTCTAATACATGCTTTTGGTAAACTAGGCAAGGTAATTCTCTAAGTTGAACTTGTATGTAACTTATAATTTCTGCATCTGGTCATTTTTATTATTGACATTAGGTGCAAAGTTTTTCGTCACCCAGTTCATAGAAGAGTTTATTTGTAAATGTCATTTACATAATGTGAATGGTTTTCACAGGTGTTTGTCAATCATAGAGGGTTTGAACTTTGAACCATGCATTATGCTGTCTTTGAATAAGCCTATAATTTAAATTGGATATGCTGATTGTGCACATCTTTTGTGTTTCATCAATTTTGATAAAATATATTTCATGTGGTAGAGCGATGAAGCTACAAAGGTGTACGGACACTTGACAGGATTAGGCTTGAAGCCAAATGCAACAACATACTCCCTACTTGTGGATGCTCATCTCATTAAGCGAGATCCAAAGGCTGCTATCTCTGTTATTGATGATATGGTGATTTCATCATTCTTGGACTGCTATCCACCCCTGAAAAATTGAAAATTGTTATAAAATAAAGTAATTTATGTCTCCGAGTTTCATGTACAGGTAAAGGCAGAATATATACCAACAAAGGAAATGCTAAAGAAGATCCGAAGGCGATGCACTAGAGAGATGGACTATGAAGCTGATGACAAGGTGGAATCATTTGCCAAACAGTTCCAAATTCGAATGGGTTCAGAGACTCGCCGGGCCTTGCTGTTTGATCTTCAATACAGCAGTATTGAGTATGCATGAAAATGACAACAGTAAGTTCTCAAGCACCTTGGAGATCACTTCGTGGGCTGCTTCATTATTTTGGTTTCGCTAGAGTGTTGACTTATAATCACCCGTTAAATCCAAAAGCATCAAAAAACATCTTGTATTTGACCTTTATGTTTAACTGGGTGTCTTGTACTCTTTATTTTTCAGGTTTTCCGACTATTCTACTTGGCATCTAGCCATTGATCATTCAGTCTGGCAAGTGACAAAGTTTTCTTGTCATTCTTGGCAAGCCATCATTCGATGTTTGTAAATTACTAATTAAATAATGGTTTGTACTGAGCCCTGGCAGGATGAGCTCGTCTTGGTTTTTTTGTTTACTCGTGTATTTTCCTTTTTATTTTTAATATTAATTTTTACACATTTTAGAAAGAGATGCTTAGACAATATTTGTCTTGCAATCAGCTGATCTAGTGATCTACCATTGTACTATTTTAGTATTATTTTATGTAGAAAATAACTTATGAGAAGGGGTTTCCTAAAATATTTCCTTCGCATACGCGTATTTATGAACGAATCCTTTTTCGAACTGGATTAGGAAACTCTTTACCCTATATAGATTAGATTAGGATTAAGAAATTGTATTCTTTTCTTCACAATCCTCGTTCCAAACATCCAAACCCTAGACAAAATTTTCTTCGATGGATTTCCAGGAGGCAAAATCTCCACTTCTGTTGCTTTCAGTGGAGGAAGAAACTTGTTTTGTCAGCTTTAACGGCGAAAAAGCAGTACCAAAGTTGAAAAACAGTCCAAAAGATTTCAAGTCAAGTATGCGTATTGGTTCCTCTCATGGATGGCTCATCCTCTTGGACGAAACCTCAGAGCCATATCTTCTAAACCCTTTCAATCAATCCCAAATCCAACTCCCCGAGAAAATTACTTTTCCTCACATTAATAGGGTGACGAGTAAATGTTGGCGCGGTGGTGAATGTTTATGCGTGGAATACACCTCTGGTTTTACCAGATGGTTTGACCCCACAGAAGATAAATCGCCATTGCTTTCCATCAAGAAAGCTATACTGTCAGCAAATCCTAGTACCCACAAAGATTTCCTAGTTGCGGTTATATACGGAGAAAATTCAAGAATTGCCTACTGTAGGAATGGAGACAATGAGTGGAGTGCAATTCAGGATGGGGATTCTGACCCATACTATGATATTGCATGTTCCGACGATGATGATTTACTATATGCATTGGGGAAAAATGTATCAGTTGAAATCTGGGATTTGATGTTTCCTGGTTCTTCTACCCTCAAGAAAATGGGTACTCTATATCCAAGAATGTTTCTGGAAACCATGAAAGACTATCCGGGAACCCTCTATGCCAGAAAGTTCTACTTAGTCCCCTGCGCCAAATCTGGACAGATCTTCTTCGTTGTGAGGTACGTTGGGGAGTTTGTGACCAGTGATGGTAAAGTTGTTTATGATGCAGAAGCTGATGATGATCAATATCCTCATCCAATGGTCTGTCCTTATAAAACAATCAACTTTCACGTTTATTGCCTCGATACAACCACCTTAACTTGGAAGGCAGTGAAATCATTGAATAATCTCGCGTTGTTTCTGGGAGGGAACCATTCTGTTTCCATGTTGGTCTCGGATGATTCAGAAGTCAAGGCAGATTCTATTTACTTCACAGACGATTACTGGGAACGAATGGACGAGGATTACTTGTATGGAGGCCATGACATGGGAGTTTTCAGTTTAAAAGATGAGAGTGTGAAGCAGTTTCTGAACATTGATTTGCAGAAAATTAAACCACCTCCCTTTTG